AAATATCTATTCAATTTTTAAGGTATGATGTTTTATAATTTAGGTGGGTTTTGTTTGTTACCTGTTAATATTAGGTAATTTGTTTTTAATTTTAGAGAGTTGCTTAAAATCGATCCTTACTTTGTGAGAGTAAATAATTTTGGTGGAAAATATCTATCGATTTCCATTTTGGTAATTTCAATTTTTTTTAATTTAATATTTTGGGAAGAAATACTTTTGACATTTTGTTTATGGAATTAGTATTAAGGGCGTGTCTGGGAGAGCTTTTCTCCCAGAAAGCAGCAATTAATTGATCGTTGGAACTTCAACATAGGTCCCATGAAGGCAGCAGTTTTTGAAATTTTAAACGTGAAAGACCAAAAATGTCTATTTATCATGACAACTGAATTAAATGTTAAGGGCAAAAATGTCATTCTGCAGTGAAATAGTCCAACATTTCGACTGCCTTGTCTGAGCCCGGGTTCTACTTAATTGTGCAAACGATAAAAAAATGAATTTTTTGGGCAGCCAAAAGTGCTGCCAGACAGGCGTTATATCATCACCATCTTTTGATTCTTCAAATTATTGCAATTGAGGGGAAAATGAATATTTTTTTGAATCGCAGGACGTGATCACATGGCAACTATTGAAAAATTTTAGAACAATTGAGAAATTTTGAGCTTAATTTTAAATTAGATTAATGAGGAATGAAGCACATTCAAATTTGAATGGACACATTTGTCTTACCTCTTCACCTACTAGACAATAATTAATAACTCATAATTAAAATCCTCCACCATCCTTTGCATCTCGTGCTCCTAGGTCAATAATTGTTTTAAATTGACTTGCAATTGTCATTTTCAAATCCATAATAGCATTGCACTTATTTGAATCTTTTTAAATTATGATTATGATATGAAATATTTTGTAATTATTTTTCCAACAAGAAATTAAAAATAACTTCATTCATTCGTTCAAAATTGGCGTTACTCTATTAAATTTTATGTTATATAGCCTGCTTGGTCTCTACTATTTTTAAAATATATTTTTCTCTCTTATTTTCAACCACAAATTTTCAACAAAATAATATTACAAGCAAATTAAAAATTTTTCCTTATTTTTTAATTACACATTCTCCATCATAATACTATTCCGAAATATATTTTGTTGAGAAAATGGGGCTCAAACATACCCTTAATATTAATTAAATATTATTTTGTTTTCATTTTAAATTAAAATTTGAATACGAGTAGAAAAAGTTCCCTAAAATTTCAAAAGTTATCAAGCCCATGTAACCATGTTTGACACACATTTTTTTCAAAATACATTCTTTCAAAACTCATTTTTCAACTGCACATTTTTCAATAAAATAATATTTTCCATCACATCAATAACTGTTACTTACTTTTTAACCACATATTTNAGCTCCTGTTTGGTACACATTCTTTCAAAATGCATTATTATAAAACTCATTTTCAATCACATTTTTTAATAAAATAATATTTTTCATCACATCAATAATTTTTCCTTACTTTTTAACCACATATTTCTCATTATATCACTACTTAAAATATATTATTTTTTCAATAATATCCATCAAACACCCCCCAAATGGCCAAATCGTTTTACTTGATTGAACATAAGGAGTCAATTATAAGTATGGAAATTGCTTAATTAAAAATCCAAACGAAACGCTTAAAAAATAAAACAAAATAGAAACCTCGACAATGGGTTGGTCAAAATTTTCACTTTTGTTTTTCTTCATAAAAAATAATAATAATAATAAAAAAAGAAAATCGAAGCGATTCAACCTCAATACGTAGTGTGTTATTTAGTTATGAATATCATACATAATTGACATTATAAAATTTTGATATTGTGTAATTGATACGTTTTGTATACCAATGAAAATCAACTTATTTTTGCTTCCAGAAAAATCAACTTATTTCATGTGTTCTCCTGTGTATACAGAGATGGATAGAGAATCATTTCTTTTTTCTTATCTCAGCTAGGGGTGGGCGCGGGTCGGTTCGGTTCGGTTTTTTTCAGTTCAAAAAATTTTCGGGTATTTAGTAAATGGAACCGTCGGTT